CTCTCGCTCTCGCTCTCTCGCTTTCTCTCACTCTTGCTCTCCCTCCCCATGTGAGTAAGTTGGCCTGCTGTATCTGGATTCCACATCAGCAGATTTAACCAACTGTGGCTCCAAAATATTCCAGAAAAATGACAGCTATGTTCAACATGCACAGGCTGTTTTCTTGTCCTGTTTCCTAAACAATGCTGTGTGACAACTATTTACACCCCATTGTCACTGCGGTAACCTAGATGCGATTTGAAGGACAGCAAGAACAACTATAACTTTTACAGAGGGTGCTTGAGCCTGGTGGGGTGTTGGCACCTGCGGGCACCCTGGGGCCAGCGCCTGTGGGTGCAGAGGACAGCCTCTGCCCTGGCCTCCCCAAGGCCTTTTCCTACAAGCTCCTTCCCCAAGTGGGTCACATGTATAAAGACCTGTTCCAGAGCAGGTTTGTAATTGTGTTTCTCTCTGGGGACAAACCCTGGCTCCAGGGAAACCTGTCCCTCCCCTGGCTCCCCGGGGTCTGGCTGAGGCTGAGCAGAGCCTGTCTGTCTGAACGTGAGTCTGTCCTTGGTCCCGACCACATTTGTGTGTGTCATCAGGCAGATGGGAGCCCTTGGGAGCCCAGAAGCTTCTGCTGTGGTGGCCACAGAACAAAGCATTCTGTCCTGCATCTCTCTGGCCCAGGGAGGGAAGAAGGGGACCCTGAGCTCACCTCCCTCCTTCAAAGACGCTCACTGATGCTGCCTTCCCTAGGGGGCTGCCTTCCCTAGGGGGCCGGAAATGGGTCCAGATTAGCTCCGGCTCAGTGGGGAGGCTGTGCAAGACAATAATAGCCCAGCCATGGCCTGGCCAGCTCAGGGGCTGAAGAGGGGGCTGCTTCCTGCCCTCCCCCTCTGTCCTCCACTGCCCCTGGGGCTTGCAGTGCATGAAAACTTTTCTTCCGGAGGCTTGGACCAGACTGCCTTTGGCTCTGGCTCTTCTGACAGCATGCCATGGTGACCTCCAGGGCAGCGCCAGCATCTGGGGGCCAGAGACCCCCACCCTCTCTACCAGGGAAGCAGACACAAGCCAGGGAAGGGCCGTGTCCCACGGTGACACTGGGGGCAGCCCAGCTTGTCCTGTGCTGGTAGCCAGGGTTCCAAGCTGCTTAGCAGACTAAAGTCCAAACTCTCCCGCTTTAGAGAAAAATAAAGTTTCCTTTTCTCCTGGTTCCAGTTCCAAGGCCTCTGATACTGGAGACTTGAGTGCTAAAGACGTCAAGGGAGGTGGGCCAGGGCTCTGAGGGCCTCCAATGACTCCTCCGGCCTTCTGGGCTAAGCCCTGGCCTCTCATTCTTCCCAGGCCCAGACCCAAATGCCCCTGTTAATTTCTTGGAGCCAAATCCAAGGCTTTGAAGCTTCACAGAAGGAGAAAACAAAATCCTTCTGCTGTCGCCCACAGCCCCCAGCGCTCCCAGCTCAGTCAAGTTCAGCGAGCTGACCACAACCTCTGTGAACGTGTCCTGGGAAGCCCCTCGGTTCCCCAATGGCATCCTGGAGGGCTACCGGCTGGTATACGAGCCCTGCACCCCAGTGGATGGTGAGTGGCCCTATCCCACCGATCCCCTGAAGGGTGCCCAGCCATGGGTGATATGAGCCAGCTCAGGATGAACACAGGGCCCACAAGTCCCTGCCAGTTGGTCACTAATGGTCATTTTAAAAGAACAGGGGACTTAGAGGCAGGAAGGGGCTGGACTTCTTACTGCCTGGCTCTACTTCCAAGATGTTGTCACATGGCTGGCTTAGTAGGGTACCCTGGTGGCAGGAAGGGGCTACTTCTGTGGTCACTCTCTTTCTCTCACCCTTCCCAACGGTGGAGGCCAACAAGAGCAAGGAGCAGAGCGCAGGGACCTCACCACAGCCAGAAGTTCTGGGTCAGTGGCAGGAACAATGGCCCTGTTTTTTCCTGCAGCCATTTGGGTGCCAGCGGCCTGTCCTACAAAGTGGAGCTGTGTGTTAGGACACCCAGGGAGCTGGGCCCCAGGAAGGGATCCCATCCGGTCAGGTGCAGGGCCAGGAATGGGGCCAGGACAGAGACTTTGAAGAAAGGGTTCAGGAGTCCTGGATAAGGACAGTGACCTCTACCTTGAGAGACGTGAGCATGTCGCCTCCCAGGTCCTCAGTGCAGCGGGGCTTGCACATGCTTTTACGGACTGCCATCCTCTGGGCAATAGCCCGACTAATAAGCATGGATAACGCACACCTTACCAGCATGGCGTCTGCCCCGGGTACAGGCCAGTCGTTCCCCTTTCCCTGGGGAAAAAGGAGGCTCCTGCAGATGAGGGTTTCCAGCAGTGTCAAGGACTAGATCCCAAGGGCCCTGACCTCTGGTCCTAGACAGTCATTAATTCCCCGGCTCCAAGTAGCCCATCCTCATTCTTCCATTCATTCATTCACTAGTGGGTTGGGTGCCTAGCAGCTTCCAGCGGCTCTGTCTGTGTTTGAACCACAATGCCCCATCTGAGACACTCCCAATACCCAGCTGAGTAGGAGAACAAACTAAAGCCAGGCTCAGGGACAGACCCGGGGCCAGGGCCAGTGTGGAGCCTGAGTACAGGAGTGAAGCGTGGTCCCAGCCCTTGGGGAGGCTGATGGCCAGTGACAGTTTATGAGGCACAGAGCATACGCTCTGCCACCCCCTGAAAGCCACAGCTGCCTGCCCTCAAGCTGCCATGATCCGGGATACAGAGGCGTCTTTAGTTCTACCCTGAAAACCCAGGTGGCACAGGTAACGGGGGGCTCAGGGGAGCTCAGCCCTCACTGGCAGAGAGAAAACAAGAGCCCAGAGTCTGAGCTGGGGTGGAGCGGAAGTAGGAGCTGTTCTGGTCTCTGGGGTCCCATCCAGCCCCAGACCTGGGGCAGCTTTATGGAAGTGCTTCCTGGAAGCTTTGCCTAGAATTGGAGTTTTGCAAGGCATGACAAGAGAGAACACGGCAGGGGAGAAAGGGACGTGGGTTCAGTGTATGCACAATGGGATGGTGAGTGTTTCTCCCTCCAGGAGCTTAAGGGCCCTGTGGGCCTTCAGGAAGCAGGACAGCCTTTCTCAAACTTGCTCAGTGACAGTGCTTTTCCCCGTAAACAGCTTGCAGAGGCACAAAACAGCACGGGGAACATGGCCTTCTTTGCTGGCTAGGCGAAGTGCCTTGGCTGGGGCTGGGCTACTGCCCCTCACTGTAGCCTCCAGTGGCCTCAGTACCCCTGATTCCTCCAGCCACCGCAGGCCCTGCCCACTGCGCTTCTCCCTAGGGGTCAGCAAGATTGTCACAGTGGACGTGAAGGGGAATAGCCCCCTGTGGCTCAAGGTGAAGGACCTGGCCGAGGGCATGACCTATAGGTTCCGCATCAAAGCCAAGACCTTCACCTACGGACCAGAGATCGAAGCCAATGTCACCACAGGGCCCGGAGAAGGTAGGTGAGCCATGGACTGTGGCCCCTCTGCACCAACTCCGTCAGCCCCCCTATGAGGAGGGTCCCTGGGGGTCAAGAGCTGCGTAGTTCTGGAGACAGAGCAGACACCCTGGAGTTTGCTGGTTCCCCACCCCAGCACCCTTGCCCTGTTCCCGGTGTGGATTAGTCTGTGAGGTCCTCAGGTCACAAGGCTAAGCCCTTCTCTTACCACTCAGACGCTGTGTGCACAGCTTGGCCCAGATGGACGCCAGGGCCTTGCACATGCTACACGCGTGCTCTGTCCCAGCCTGAGCTCGCTCCTTTCTTGTCCTTCCCACAAAGCTGCTGGCCTCTATCACCTGCAGCCTGGTAGAACCCTGTCCCTACCTGGCCACGCTCCTGCACCACCCTTGAAGTTTGGGTTCGCAGAGAGTGATGCCTGAGAGTCACCCTCAGTTCCCGGGTGGATCCTCAGACACCCTGGTTCCCTGGGGTGGGTGAGCCGAGCAGTCTGCTCCAATCCCGAGGACCCCCAGTGTGTTCAGGCACTCTCTCATGGAGCTTTTAGATGGAGCAGGCAGAGGGGTGGGGCTGGCCAAAGTGAAGGACAGGGCCAGGCAGCTCCTGGCAGCTCATCACTGCTGGGCCCCACTCCTGCCCTTTGCTCAGGCCCTGCCCCGGCAGAATGTCATTTTGTGTTTCCTAAAGTCTCTATGAATGGCCCACCCCACTCTTGAAGCCCTCCTGATGCATCCCACCTCCCTACCTCCACCTGCCTTGGCCAGGCACGTGTGGTGGTCAGGGATTAGCCCCCAAGTACAGGTACAGGTTGACCCATCCCAAGCACGAAGGCCATCCCAAAAGTTCCCCACCTACCCCACCAGCCCAGAGTGGACAAAGGCTACTCTTGTCCCCAGGAGGCGGGGCTGGCCTGGACTCTGGCAGGGTTGGGGGCTTGCCTGGGTTGGCTGGCAGCTGGCCACTCCTCACTTTCCCACTGGCCACTTTCTCTTCCTCCTCTGGTTCTACAAAGAAACCCCTGTGATCCCAGCTGCCCTGAGAACGGAGTCCCGGGGCATGAAGACAGCCTGCCTGCCAGGAGTTGCTCGCTGGCTTGCTAGCTCTGCCCTTCACCTGGCCAGCCCCACCCCTCTGCCTCTCACCTGAGACTTCCTGGGAAACAAAAGTAGAAAGAGCCGGCTAGCTGAAGCGGGGATTGGGGACAGGAGAAGGTGGCCTGGAGGACACCCTTCCAATTTAAGTCTTAAAGTAACCCATCTGAGGAAAGGCAGGAGGCCAAAGGAGGGGCAGAGGGTGCTCAGAAAGAACCAGCCTCACCCTGACCTATGGACAAGGAGGGCCCTGCAGGGAGGAGAATGCACCAAACTGAGCATCCCTGCCCCTCCAGACAGGTCCATGGTGAGCCCCTCCCTCGGCCCTGAGTACTTTTCTGTGCAGAGCAAGAACTCAGACCCTCCTGGGGGCTGGGGAGATGGCTCCATGGAATAAGCGCTTCCCTGGCAAGCGCAAAGGCCTGAGTTCAATCCCCGGTTCCGCCCAAAGGAAAAAAAAAAAAAAAAAAAAAAGACCCTCCTGGTGTTCAATCCCTGGCGTGCTGTGCCAGCCCCACCCACAGGGTATGCTGAGATGGAGATTGAGACTGGGCATAGTGGCATGCACCTGCAATCCCAGCACTTGGGAAGCTGAAAAACAGGAGAATCACTGTGAGTCCTATGTAGGTAATGAGACCCTGTAGATCCTGCACTAAATATAGAAAGAAAAAACACAGGCCCTCAACCAGTCTTTCAGACCATAGCCCCCTCCCTTGAGCTGTAAACGGAATGCTTCCTAGGGGAGGAAGGAAGGAAAGGAAGAACTGCAGGGTCACAGACGTAGGGCCCCAGCGGTGGGCTGCCCAGCTGTGTGCTGTGTCCCTGCCCTCCTGTCCCAGCTGACCAGCTGTCCAGGGGCCCAGCAGAGCTTCAGTTCAGTGATGATCTTTCTTGCCCGCTCTCTTTCTAGTCTGTGTTCCTAGTCCCACGAGCACATAGGAAGCACCTACTGCGTGCCAGACTCTGGGGACCCTGAGCTCCAGGTGCAGTGGGCGATAGCACACAGGGTGGGGCTCAGGGAGAGCAGAAGCCCAGAGGACAGGCACCAGGGCATTCTACAGAGAAGGGGCCCTGGGCCCTCTGTAGACAGATACCTGGCTCCCTGCTGTCCTCAGAAGCTGGCCAATATCCCAGGCTGCTAGCTGGATACAGGAGAGTAGGAGCAGCCAGACCTTCCCCTCCCCTGGCTCTTCCTTCTGGGCTGGCCCCCTCCCTCTGCCTGGCCCCTCTTTCTTCCTCTCCCCACCACGGCTTCCTGGAGCCTCCTCTCTCCTCCCCTAACCTAACAGCAAGTGTAGTTGGGGCAGGGAGACTTCTGGCAGGAGATAGGGTGGTCATCACTGCGGGTCAGCATCACCTACCAGAGGAGGTGCTGGCGACCTTTCAGGCTTCTCAAGTCCCAGTGCTGTCCCCGCCAGTGGGGTTGGGGGGAGTCCTGGAAGCTCTTTGGCCTGTGTTGCTTTGACCACCCAGACACTCTTCTCGAACACCAGTTGCAAGGTTGGGTGATCATTGGGTTCCTGCGTCCGCTTGCCCACCGTGTGTGGTGTTCACAGGTGCCCCGGGACCACCGGGAGAGCCGATCATCGTGCGGTACAGCTCTGCTATTGCTATCCACTGGTCCAGCGGAGACCCTGGCAAGGGGCCCATCACCCGCTACGTCATAGAGGCCCGGCCTTCAGGTGCGACCCTACCTGCTTCCTGAGTGCCTGCACGCAGGCCTCATGAGAAGGGACTCTTTTCTGCCAAGGGGGGAACTGGAGGCAGCCCTGTTGGGGAGTGGGAAATTGGGGGGCGCGTCCTCTGAGCGGCACCCTCGCTGACAGAACAACCAGGAGGCTGCAGGAACACGCAAGGACTCAGCTCCAGCTTGGCTGGAGGAGCCTTGGAGAAGCCAGACAGGAGAGCTGTGGCTTGAGCTGATTAAACGCCCGTGTCCTCTGTGCGACCCCGCTGCCGCCTGCAGCTCCGGCTCTGCCATCACAGCGCTCACCATTCTTGTAATGGTACCAACCGCTCCTGTCAAGCCTGAAATCGAATCACAAGAACTTCTAAAGCCATCAGGAGACGAGCGATTGATAAGTCGCTGGAGGGGGCTGCGCTCCGATCTTGTTTCAGGCATCCTGACACCTGCTTCCTGGGCTCCACTTACTTACTCGAAGGAGCCCCAGCTCCCCCCGTTGCTAGGTTTCCCATTTAATCAGAGATACCAGAGTCCGCACCAGCCTAGGGCTGCAGGCTTCTTTGTATTCAGTGGGTCTGAGATTAGGTGATTGAAGTTGAGAAAAGAAAGACAAGACTTGGTCCCTGTGACCCCAATAACAAATAATAATCGTAATGAGAAGTAGTCAGGCATATCAGTAGCCAATTCTCCTAACGGGGCATATTGGAACATCCCTGTGGCAAACTGTTCATATCGTGAGGTACCCGGGTGCTAATCATACCAATAGCAAAGAGTTAATAATTCTAGAAGCTTCTGGGAACAGCCACGATTGCCTTAGTCACCTCCACATAATTGCATTTGCGAATAGCAGCTCAGATCTAGCGGATTGCCTGTGGCGCTGGCTCTGTCCCCACTCCAGATGGTCCCTCCTTGGCCCTCCAGAGCCGGCTGCCGAGTTGGCCAGCAGACCCCTGAATGCATCTGCCCACCAGAGCCTGCACCTTTCTTCCACCCAAGTTGGCCAGCTTGCGGGCAGGCTGTGGAATGTTGGCCCTGGCCTGGAGCCTGTTGATTTTCCAGGGTTCCCTGGGAGGCTCAGCACGAGCCTCTGGTGTTCCAAGTTTGGAGGCCATGACTCGGTCCACACAGGTGGAATCTGGGACTTAGCATGGAAAGGAGAAACAGGGCAACACTGGAAGCTGGGCCTGTGCTAAGCTGTGCAGAGAGCTGGGGGGCACCTCAGTCACCCCAACCCAGCAGGGCCTGAGCTGGTGAGGAGTGGGGAGAGCCAGGGATTGAGTCCTCAGGCTCCCGCTCTAGGAGAGGGGTTACCTTTCCTCCACCACCTCCATGCTTGCAAACTTCCATCTCTAGGACACAGTGGCCCTGTTCACCGCTGCTCCTGTGTTGTTTATGCCTCCTGCTGCCTAGAATAAGCTGAACACACCCAATCCCCACAAGCCAGAGAGCAACCAGGCACAGCAGACTTGCGAGGGACTCATGCTGAGGATTTACAGGCCCCTAGAGCGGACCCTGCGTATCAGCCAGCTCCCAGGGCCTGAGGCCAGGGCCACGGCAGGACGTTTCAGTGGCTTCTGGCCTGGCCTCGTTGCCCCGGCTCTCAGTTCATCTCTATGTGTGGTGGCTCAAGGGGGGACAAACAGCGGGCAGGACGCTTAAGGCTTCTGGAAGCCATCAGCCGGTCCTGCATGAACCAAGCCTGTCAGCAGCTCCCAGTTCGCTTCTGGTCGCGCACATTGCAGTCCTGGCTGCCCAGGGGAAGTTCAGCGGCAGAAATACCAGCTCGGCCCTTGATGTCCGCATGGCCGTGGAAGGATGAGTTAAGCCCCCCTGTCTGCATCTTGACTTTCTCATCTGTAAAATGACGACCACAGTTCCTCCCCCCTGGCCATTGCTATGACACAAGGAAAATGAAGCAGAGAGACCTGGGATGCATGACAAAGGAACTGGTGTCTCCTGCTGTGTGGTCATCATCAGTCCAAGGTAAGAAAGAGCAGGCAAAGCCCCAGGAGGATGGGGCTTGCCACCCAGTCCTTTTATTTCAAGGCCTGAAGCACTGAAGTTGGACAAGTTGTCCTGTGGAAAAGATGGTGGAAAGGTCTTCATTCATTCATTCATTCCTTCATTCATTCAGGAAACACTTAGCACGTGCTTGTGCTCGGTGCTGATTTGTGCAGAAACAAACGACTCAATCCCTTGAGGGATTTTGTAGCCTAGCACGACAGACAACAAGAAGAGTGACCGTAAATTAAACAGAAGATGTGTATGAAGCTGATGCTTGAAAGAACATTAAGAGGGCCGGAGAGATGGCTCAGTAAAATAAGTGCTTGCCTGGCAAGCACAAAGGCCTGAGTTTAATCCCCGGTTCCGCCAAAAAAAAAAAAAAAAAGAACATTAAGACCCAAATAAAGCCAAGGCTCATGACCCCAGGGTCTTCCGAGGGAACAGCTCTGGACCCAGACAGGCGCCTCAACCTTCCCTAAATTGACAGGACCTCTCTTGATGGGGACAGGCAGCCATCTGCAGGTCCTGCCACCCTCTGGGTGTAAAATTCAGAAGCGACAATAGATAGTGGTGGCACCTCTGGATGCATTTGGACTTAGGAGTTGGAGCTGCAGAAATGCTTGATGAGGAAGAACAGTAAAACCCATCAGCCTGGAGAAGCGCGTGATGGAGCCGGGGACCCAAGCTCTGGCAAGCGGCTCTCTTTGGAAGGAGCTCGGGAGCCGATGGGAAGAATGGGTCCCGGAGGGTGAAGCCAGAGTTGCTGCGTGGTGGATGCTGGTAGAAGGCAGGGGCCTTTGGAGCCCTGGCCTGGAGGGATTCACTGGCTACTGCGTGACCCCTTCAAGTGTAGGCCATGGGAGGGAGGCTCTGTGAGGTCAGCCTAAGTGCTACACAGCAGGCCAGGCAGGCCAGACAGGCTGTGCCCTCTGGGGAGATGGATAGCCTTGGGTGGGATGGGATTGAAGAGGGACTTGAGGCTCCCGCTTCACCTCACAGCTGCCTTTTCTCTGTGCTCTTGCAGATGAGGGACTCTGGGACATCCTCATCAAAGATATCCCTAAGGAAGTGAGCTCCTACACCTTCAGCATGGACATCCTGAAGCCAGGCGTAAGCTATGACTTCCGGGTCATCGCAGTCAATGACTACGGCTTTGGCACCCCCAGCAGCCCCTCTCAGTCTGTGCCAGGTACTGGCTTGTGGGGTGAGAAACAGGGGAGCCCCATGGAAGAGCCTGGTGACAAATGCTGGAGGGGGGTGGGGTAGGAGAAGAGAGTCACCAGGCCACAGGAACGGTGGGGCGGCCCCCAGGATGGACTGTCCTCTTAATTTCACAAAGCAAGGCTCTCTGTGCCAGGACCCACATCAGCTCCTAAGTCCAGGGGAAGCTGGGGGCCTTGGAGCTTTTGGGTTTCCTTCTCAGCACCCTAACAACCTGGGTAGATGCAGAACAGTGAACCCACAAGGAGCGTTGCCGTGAGCTCCTATGCAGCTGGTTCAGAGGTGTCAACTCATCCGAGCCCTGGAACAAACAGGATCAGCATTCTGTGGGGCTGAGGCTGGCCCCTTAGACCTGACTGCTCGGTGCTCGGGTGGACCAGCTCCCGGCCCCTCTCTCTCCTTCCCCCTCCCCCCACTCTTGCTGGCCAACATGTCTTAGGTTCACAAAGGACTCCAGTGTTTACCTCCATGACCCAAATCTAATCACTGGCTACCTGAAATGCTAAGCTCCTGCCCTGCAAGCCAGAACTACAACTCAGAATGTCTGCTAGCAGATGAGCAGCAGGACCCTGTTCCTCTCTCCACCCCACACACCTGCTCCTCGGCCCAGAAATAGTCTAAGACTAAAACCCAAAAGCCAGCCCCTCCTTGGCAGCAACATGGTTAGTACTAGGGTACACAGATGGGAGGCTTTGTAAGAAGGACATCCCTCCCTGGCAGAGACCTTCTGAGACCACCTGGGCCGGCTTCCAATTCCCCCCTGCTTTCTGCCAAGGGAGAAAAAAAAAAAATCAGTGCAAACTGAGTCTTGGGACAAGCTTTCCCAAACCCTCATGGAGCCCCTCTTCCTATACACCTCTTGCCACACAGATTTGGAGCTGCTTATCAAAGCCTTTTCCTCCAGGCCAGGGGAAAGGAGGTAGCTGGCAGGCTGCTGCTCTCCATTTGTGATGTCTGACCCTCGCAGACATCACAAATCAACCCTAGCATTTTGTCTCCATGAATAATCCCAGCACTTGGGAGGCCGAGGCGGAAGGATCCCTGTAAGCTGGGGGTTAGCCCAGATTCCATAGTGAGACCCTGTTTCCAATAAAACCAACCAAAAAACAAAAAAAACCAAACAAAAAAAAAAAAAAAAAAAAAAAAAAAAAAAAAAAAAACAAGGAGAGGGCTCCAGGCAGCCAATAGATCAGAGCTGGAACGTGAGGTGCAACCATCCTCCGAGCCCCGCTACAGGTTGCACATCCGTAGAGGGGGCACAGGTTCTGCCTACCATAATTGCATGAGCCGTAGGTCGGGCCAAAGCAGGAGGGTGGAGGCCGGAGGGCCTGTGCACCCTGGTCCTGATGCCTGCATCCGTGTTCAGCCCAGAAAGCCAGCCCCTTCTATGAGGAGTGGTGGTTCCTGGTGGTCATTGCCCTCGTGGGTCTCATCTTCATCCTGCTTCTGGTCTTTGTGCTCATCATCCGGGGCCAGAGCAAGAAGTATGCCAAGAAGACAGACTCCGGTGAGTGCGCTGGCAGCCAGCCCTCTGGCTGGACTTGACTCTGACGCTTCTCCCTCTGGCCAGGGCAGAGGGTGGGCAGGTCGCTTTCTTGGCGATGCAGCTGCCCAGCAAGGCAGCATCAGGTTCCTACACCTGACATCGGCCTCTTCTTTCAGTCTCGACTCTAACAAAAGGAGTGGGGGCAGCCCAGCTATGGGACAGAATGGGGTTCGACCGAGGAGGCCGGAGGGCTAAAGGGTATCAGTTTTCCCCCTGCAGGGAGCAGTGCCAAGGCTGGAGGCCTAGGTCACGGGGAAATGATGAGCTTGGACGAAAGCAGCTTCCCAGCTCTGGAGCTCAACAACCGGAGACTGTCCGTCAAGAACTCCTTCTGCCGAAAGAATGGCCTGTACACCAGGTAGGTGCCTTCTGCATGGGGCCAGAGGATAGGGCCCCAGGGACCAGGCCCCAGGGTCCAGCAGTGCCAGTTTGGAGGACCCTGGGGAGGGCCACAGAGTGGGCAAGGCCCTCTTGGCTTTCCTTGTCCTTGGAGCAGCATCTGAGCTCCAAGACTGGGGACAATTGGCAAAGACATGGCAGAGCCCAAGCAGTACTGTCAAGGGCCGGCCCTGCTGCCTGACCGCAGCCTGAAGCATGCCAGGAAATTCACAAGGAGGTAGGATCTCTGCCCACGGCAGCAGAATATAAATGACTTGGAAATTTTGTAAGCCAACCTGGGATTATTTGGCACCAGCTGCCTCAGTTGAGGTCTGCAGATGGTCATGTGCCCCAGAGGTGAGAGGGCCTAGCACGCTGGGCACCCACACCTCAGGGAAAGGTCGTAGGAGCTCCTCCGCCATTGTTTGTGCCCTCCCCCCACCACAGTGAGAAAGCCTTCTCTACTCTCCTCCCACCACCCTGCAGCCTCTGAAAGCACCAGCAAAGAGAGTTGAGGCTGGCGCTGCTCGCCCAGCCTCTGTTTCTCCTGACTTCTTTCCAACCCCAGTCCCTCCAAGGCCCCCCTCCTTGTGGCCACAGAGGTAGGGTGGTGCTGGGGCCCCTCTGCCTCTCCATGGATGGTACGTGACAGCTTCACGCTCCTGGGAGCTCAGGAGAGGTTAGGGGCCACAGCCAGCAGGGCTTGGTCTCCATCCTCAGCCCTGTTGACATTCCAGGTCCGTTGGAGGCAGCCCGGAGAGGAGCCAGCCTCTCTCCCCGGGAGCTCACAAAGCTCTCTCTGTCTCTGACTCGAGGGTGGAAACCCTGCGAGTGCTCACGGGGAGGGGTGGAGGAGGGCCTTGCAGGCTCTCATCCCTAGCCAAGCCCAGCCTGCCAGAGAAAGAGCTGTTTGAGACTGAGGTGGCAGGTCCAGCTGGGCCCAGCATGGCCACAGCAGCCCCGCCAGGCTGGCTCCAGGGCCCCGCCGTATGGAACAAGGGCACACTTCACCCACGGCCTCATCTTCCACTGACCCACCCCTCTTTTCCAGCCCATGGTGCATACACATTGAGGCCTCTTGTCCGCTAACCCCCATGATACCCAGAAATAAATCTGATTCACTACCCCAGGCTTCAAAGGCCTTCCACTGACCACTGAGACCCTCTTCCCCCAGCCCGAGGCCTAAGGGACGTGGCACGAGAATGAGGAGGACCCCAGAGCGGAGGGCTGTGTGCCCTGCCTTCCTCGTGCCTCCCTGTCCTCCCCCTGGCCGCAGGAAGCTGCCCCGTGTGAGGCCATCTCTCAGCCCCAGTGCCCCGCTCCCTGCAGGTCTCCTCCACGGCCCAGCCCGGGAAGCCTCCACTACTCTGATGAGGATGTCACCAAGTATAATGACCTCATCCCAGCCGAGAGCAGCAGTCTGACTGAGAAGCCCTCGGAAATCTCAGACTCTCAGGTGAGGGGCAAGAGGGCCAGGGGCCCGGGAGGGGGCCAGGGAGCGGCCACTCCAGAGTAGACAGGGGGCACTCTGGCAACCAGGCCCACAAGTGACCCAGCATACAGCCTCTCTTCTTTGCTGCCTGCTGTCCTCCTTCCCTTCCTTCTTTCCTTCCCTCTCTAGAGACTAAGGAAACCCAAGACACTAAGCAGAAGCCATTTATAGGCCAGCTGCCTCTCTCCAAGTTCTCAGACTTTGCCTGCAGGGATAAAGAGGTCTGGATCATGAAGTCCCCAAAAGCATGACCCTGTAAACCTGCCAGAGTCGCCCACTGTCTGGTTTCTCAGTAGCCTCGGCTATGCTGAAGGCCTGGAAAACTGCTCGGCTCAGCTACTCAGGCCAGAGGAGCTCCATGCACAGGGCCAGGGGCCGTGTAGACTCAGCAAGGTGTTATACCTGAGAAGTTAGAACCTGAGTTTGGGCACTAACTTTGCTGTGTTCCAGGTCTGTGGGGAGAATTCCCTGAGGTCAGGCACAGAGGAGCTCAGCCCAGGAGCAGGTGCATGGCAGTCATTCCATACAGACTAGCTTTTCTATGAAGAAAAGACAGCGCCTCTGGAAGAAGGTGCTGTAGAGCTGTCATTGAGCAAGTCAGGCAGTGGCACTTTCTTGGGCCCTAGGGGCCAGACTGAGTGCATTCCAGTCATGTGACACTGCAGACTCCCACCCCTATCTGCTCAGCCTGTGCCAAGCTTCATGGTTCCCGAAGAAGGGGCCATGAAAGGCCACTGCCTCCCATGCCTGAACCTTTCTGCCCTGTCCTGGAAGAAGGAAAAAACAAGAGGTGCCAGGAAGCCTGGGTGCAGTTGAAGCCCATCAAGCAGGGCCTCTCACTCACTAGCTGCTATTTTGTTCAGCTGTGGGGTTACTGAGGGACCCTGCAGAGCTTAGGAGGCCCCAACCACCTCCACAGTCCCAGCTGCAAGGACAGAGCCCTCAGCTCAGCCGGATGTACTCAGGAACTCCATGGGGGACAAAGCTCCTCTGAGCTCATGCAACTCAGGTTATAGTGCCTTTTTTCAAGTATTTAACTTTAAGCAACCACATACCATGGATATTGGGGTGTTATCTGGGTAATCAGCAGAGGCTTGGGTCCTTCCCACGAAGGCCCCAAAGATGTAACCAGCATCTAGATTCTAGACACTCAGTGTAGATTTGAAGAGGATGAAGGGACCTGTCTGCCCATGCAGCTGCAGCTTGGGATCTCGGAGGCAGCCAGTGGGAGGGACTTCCTGTGTGGCTCTATTTGGTGGCCCTTGACTTTCCATAGGACATGTCATTAGTCTACCCTCGCTGGCTGGGCACTGACCTTTAGGGAGCAGGCTTTGTGAATGCAGAAGATCTTGCCCAGCTATCTCAAGAGCTTTGTGTCACCATGACTGCATGAATCTGGCCCAAACTCCCCAGATGCAGAGTAGCCCAGTAACAGGAGGCTATAGGCCAGGCAGCCTCCCACCCTTAGCTACCGAAGTTGCCAGGAGAACAGTCCTTGTGTTCAAGACCTTCTGACTCAGAAGCTACCCCAGGGTGGGCAGACAGGGCCTGGAATCTAGAATCTTCCCACTCAGCGTGTGAGCAAAGCAAGCCCATCACTGGCACAGTGTTTCCATAGCAACCTGGCACTAGTCACTCCCCAGGAGCACTACCCTGGAGAGAAGAGGCTCCAAGATCCTGAAGACCATTGTCAGAGCAGAATGCCCACATTGTTAAGATCACTTGTCCCAGGCCAGGCTCAAGAGATCTTCCCACAGAGCAGGGGACAGTCCAGGATTGGAGTGGGGGCTCAGTAGGGTTGGATTGAGCTTACTTGCTCTGAAAGCTGAGTTCCAAGGAGGCAGGAGTGAGTGATGGTTGTGCTCGGGGTTTTGTTGCCTGTTGGACACCATTGGAGGCTCTGTAGCATCTCCAGCAGTGCCTGGGCCCTGGGTACTCTGTACATAGTAAAAGAAAGAAAGGCCATGAAGTTGACTGGCCAAAAAAGACTCCAGACCAAGCACAGGTTTTGCAGGATAGAGAAACAATCCTGTGGTTACCGTTGCTTGGAGACAAGGTCTTGTTGTGTTTCTCGGCTGGCCTTCAACGCCTGGGCTCACGTGATCCTCTTGCTTCAGTCTCCCAAATGCTGGAACTAAGGGTCATGCCACTTGTCTCAACAAAACTATGACTTATGAGGTGGAGCTGGCAGGAATACCTCACCACTGCATGTGGAAGAGACGGGGAATGATTTGGGTCTGTTCTCCCTGCACTGTTCTTAAGAACGATATGCCCAGCATGAGGGCCACCGCAGCTGGTGCAGGGGCCAGGTGCTGTTTGTGCAGCACTGTTGGCTCAGGGGTAGAAGCAGTTGGAAGAACCAAGGACAACAGCATAAGAAGACATGGGTCACCCTGTCTCCTGCTATGCTCAGTACCCATCGTTGAAAGGTTACATTGAGCCGTTTCTGATAGCCCACGCCCAGCACACCAGGAAGATGAGGCAGGAGGATCAGAAGTTCAAGCCCAGCATGGGCGACTTAGTTACTTAGCGAAACCTTGTCTCTAGATCCGAAGGGTTGGGGATGTAGCCCGGTGCAAAGACCCTGGGTGTGATGCCCAGTACTACAAAAAAAAAAAAAAAAAAAGTTAAATTTCCTGCTTTCCTGTTGGTAAATAGACACCATGCTGAGCCCCTTAGGGTTTCCAGGGGACCCCAGGAAGACAGCTTCATGATTCTGCAGCTATGGGATGTGAAGGGAAGACGGGACCTTGACTTGACCAACCTGCTTTTCTCTATCCTTCGGCCTTGGATGGCCAGAGAGAGCTGGAGTCCATGTCTTCCTTTTTTTTAAAAAAAAAAAAATTTATTTATTTATTTATTAGAGAGAGAGAGAGAGAGAGAGAGAGAGAGTGTGTGTGTGTGTGTGTGTGTGTGTGGTGTGTGTGTGGCCAGCTCAGCCCACCAGGGGGCGGGGCTGGCTGGCATGTGGTGCTGGGGGATCGAACCGCGGTCCCTGATGCTTTGCTAAGCTTGTTCTAAGTAGGTGCTTTAGACCACTGAGCCATCTCTCCAGCCCAGTCCATGTCTTCCTAAGGGACACACTGCCAGCAGACGCATGGGGCGATGGGGTGCTGACTGCTCAAAATGCATTTCCTTTTTTCTTTTCTTCTTTTGCTTTTTGGGGGTGGGGGTGCTATGGACAGAACCAGTAACCTTGCACACGCTAAGCAAACGCTCTACCCTGAGCCACTCCCAGCCTCAACATACACCTTTTGAGCTCACTCTCAGGACCTAGAGGTGGTGGAGACATGGTCCTGGCCCCCAGGAGCACCCGTGAGGTGGAGAGGACAGGCTGGAAACAGTGCCGAGCACCTTCCAACACCTAGACTCAAGTACAAATAAGCAGGCCTGCCCCTGCTCGTTCAGTTACAAGGCCTCTCTGTCAGGAGTGTGGCACATCTGCCACTGTGGCTGTCATTCGGCTGGTGGCGGCTGCTGGTGTCCCTAGATGTCTTGTGTGTCCCTAAGGGTTAACTGCCATTCTGCCTGCAGTTTCAGCTGCTCTGTGGATTCAGTGCCTATCTTTTTGAACACCATACCCCCCACCCCCAGCGCATGCATGCACCCAACCCCCAGCTCCTCGGAAGATGAGTTTTGCACCAGCTGCCTGGTTTATATTCTAACTCAGCCACCCAAATCTTACTCTCCAAAACTGGTGGAAATCTTCCCAGCCGTTTTCCTGTGATATGGTAATAAACAGAAGGTCAGTTTGACTTACACACACACACACACACAGACCTGGAGAAGCCACAATAGGGCTATGAATGAAGGGCTAGAGGGAGAGGGGGCTCATCCTCCCCAAGGGCACAGTGGGGGAGTCCAGGCCTGTGCCTTAAGGGCTGCAGGAGAAGGGGGCTTGCGTAGAACTGAAGCACACCCACCGAAGAAGAGATTTAAGCGCCTGTGGCCTAAGAGATGAAACTTCTAAAAATGCAGCGTGGCTGCATTCCAGCTCCATTTTCAAAATAACAGCCCAAGTTTGGTAGGGGAAAAAAAAAAATACACACGTACTTAGCACACACAAATGTCAATGAAGGGGCGTGCCAAGCCCGCGGCATACACCCCCAGTCTTGATGCCTGGATATTGGCAGTGCCATGGACGAGCTCATTATGATAGAATTAAGCCTATAGGAAAGAGTAAGAAAGGACTTACATGCTTGAGTGTGTGGAGCGCTGACTAGGAAGCAGGACAGGCTCCAAGGATTGGGTGAGTCCTCAGCGACCCTGAGAGAGAGTCGGGAGCCTCCCAAGTCCTACCTCCTGTCACATCTGCCCTACATACCAGCTGTGCACTATGCAGAGTTAGACCCTGGGAGGCAAAGTGCTGGCTTTGCCCTCCATGGGATTCATTCACTCATTCATTCATTCACTCATTCATTCATTTACTCATTCATTCATTTACTCCATTCATTCATTCATTCATTCATTCATTTGTTCTTTGGTTACACTTACTCCACAAATACTTGGTTGCACCACTAAAGGTGCTATTTGTGAGCGGTGGCTTTGGTAGATGGTAAAACACAATCTCCATCTCACCAAGTTATGACCTATTAAGGAGGACTGAGTGTATGAATACAGCACGTTTCCTGTCTTGTGAAAATGTGGAACCACGGTCACTGCTTTGGTGATTGGCCTCAGGAGAAGAGTGGTACACAGAGGTCTTTCTGTGTCCTGAGCTTTAGGGCAGGGGAGATTCAGTGAGGCATCTTGGGGGAAGGCCACTCCACCCCAAAGCACGCAGGGAGCTGCCTGGAAGAGGCCGGTGTGTTTGCTGTGAGCAGGGCCAGGCCAGGTGCAAAAAGAAGCAGGCGCTCATGTCAGGATGGAGGTCCTGCCTGCAGCGCCTTGGGGGGCTGTCTCTGGTCTTGTGTTTGAGTTGCCGCTTGCCATCAGGTTAGGTCACAGCCAAGGCCCTGGTCCCC